GAGCGCTCGGGCGTTTCAACTTTGACATGCGTCTCTCCTCCTTCCCCCCCTGGAACTCCACCAAGCGAGAGCTGTGCCGGACCCTGCACGTGGCTGTTCCACTTCACTGGGTGTTTCTAGTGTCACCGTGCACCAGGGCGTAAATTCTGGCCAGATCTATTCCAGATGACTTTTCTTCCCTGTGTTAGTAACTCCTCGTTAGTAATAATTCTTGACTGTTAGTTCTAAGAGGCCTAGCAGTGGGCTAGAGTCCTGTTAGAATGGCCTTAAATACAGGTTGGAATTGACTTTATGCTACAGAAGGTTTACTTTGCAGAATAGATGCGAGCTTAGTGAGTGCCATGTACGACAAAGCTGTGCTGGTCAGCATGCTTTTCCTACATGCTCAGCATTTCAGTAGCGTAGACTATTATTTAACTTCATGGCACAGGAAGTCGATGAAGGGTCTGGAGAATAAGTCCTATGAGGAAAAGCTGAGGGAATTGGGGTGTTTGGTCTGGAGAAGAGAAGGCTCAGAGGGGAACCTTATTGCTCTGTACAACTGCCTGAATGGAGGTTGTAGTAAGGTGGGGTTGGTCTCTTCTCCTAAGTAACAAGCGATAGGGCAAGAGGAGAGGCCTCAAGCTGCACCGGGGGAGGTTTAGATTGGATATTAGGAAAAATGTCTTCAGAGAGAGGGCGCTCAGGCACTGGAACAGGCTGCTCAGGGCAGTGGTGGAATCACCGTCCCTGGAAGTGTAGATGTAGATATGTGTAGATGAGGCCCTCAGTGGCATGGTTTAGTGGTGGACTTGGCAGTCCTGGGGTAATGGTTGGACTTGATGATCTTAAAGGTCTTTTCCAACCTAGTTGATTCTATGATTATATGAAAAGTCTGTGGGATGCTTCAGAAGAAAACCATGAAGATAATAGGCTTCTTCCCAGGCTGGAGGAGTGCTGTGAGAGGAAAACAAAAATGTTTGCAAGAAACAAAATCCAGTGGGATGAAGGAAAATGTGACATAAGGCATAAGAGTTGGAATGTGACCTTCCAGCGCTGAATGAGAGATAATAGATAAGGTGGGGATAGCTTGGGGAGTGACTTGAAAACAGTTGATTATTGCTGTCCTAGAAGATAATTGTAGAAACGCTCTAAATAGATCTAAAGAAAAGAGCACTGCTTAAATCTGAGAAAAGAATGTTAAGGTTCAAGATGAGTGGTTTAGGTGTTCAGATATAATTTATTCTACAACTCTGTATTTGGGGTCTTAGTGAAGCCACATGGTCCTTTTTTAAGAGCCTTATGTTAAGTTTTGAAAATCTTTTATTAACAGCTTAGGTAAACTGTAGTCCATATAGCATTTTACAGATCCCAGAAGATCACCTTTTTTGAGGTTTTATTGCAGGACTGCTGTCTTGCAGCTGCTTCTGAACAAGCAGATATTCCTGGCAAAGCCTTATTTAAAGCTGGTAGTAGTCCATTGACTCACATCCAGCTGGTGCCTAGGTTAGGTGGTTTTTCTTCATTAAATCCTCTTTTAATTTAGGATACTGTTACATTAAAGAAGTATATGGCAATATATAATGAAAGAATTTATCAAAATAAGTTTGAGGATTGTGGAATTACCCAGACAAAATAAATTGTGTCAAGTAAGCTAATACTAAAATGGCAAAAGTATTTCTCGAGGCCAAGATGCAGCCTATAGGTAGACTGACACATTAGAGAACACTTTTGAAGTTTGATTTTCTTTGTATCAGTTTGATGTCTGTCATCTACAATTAAGTATTTTAGCTCTAATCGCTCCATAATATGAAGACCCATTTACATAAGTTCTTCTGGTATTAGATTCAAGAGCTATTTTATGATGCTCATAATCATGCTGCTAAAGTCATAAAACACTAGACTTTGAACCAGTTGTTGGAACTGGTTGAGGCGCTGTCGTTACTTGAACTTGAGAAAATAAAATTTGGGGTGGAAGTAAAAAAAAAAAAAAAGATCTGAAATTCTGTGTTAAAAAAGGGCGGGTGGGGAAGGCTGTTTTAGTAGAGAAGGCTACTGACATTTGGGTTAGGGTGAAGGTTTGTTTAAGTACCATCACAGAGAATTGTGCATGCAGGATTGTGTAAGTCATGTATAGAAATTGTTTTTCTGAAAGAGTTTGAAGAATTTTATGGAAAGTAGTGGCAAAAGTTTAGGAAATAAAATGAAGCTTTAGTGCTGCTACTTATAAAAAAACTATGCCACACTAGCTTTCTGTCTGTAACTGACATCAAGGCAGATTAGTTGATTTTATTTTTTAAATATCAAGGTGACCATGCTGTTCTGTGTGTCAGAATCAAGAACGTAGCAGTAGCTGTGACAAAAGCAGCTAGACTTCACCTGTTTCAAGCACAGGAATGGCAGAAGCTGCAGAATGACATCGAAGATCAGAGCTGTACAGAGAAGTTCTCCAAAGCTCAGCTGACAAGTGAGTTGCTACTTTTTTCTCCTTACTAATTAAATTATCTGTGTATTTAGAACCCTGTGAAGTTATCCATGCATTTAGAATATTTACTTCAGTGAATTTGGACTTTGCATCAACTTAAGTAAAAGCAGGACTTCGTCCTTGTGTAATTAAGAATTATTACAAGGAAGTAAAATTGCTTTGTTTGCATCACTTCAGAAGACTTTGTTTGCAAGTTATGATTTAGTTTACTGCTGGAAAATGAACAATCCTTGACAAATAATGACTTCAGTTCAAACAGCCAAACTTTATGAGCAGTTCTAGCCTCATGCTCTCACTTGTACACAACTCAGGGTACATGTTTGGCTGAAGTTTTCATTACTCATTCAGTACAGAGATTTTAACTTTGCCTGGAGTAAAAGTCTTTTTTTTTTAGCCTCAAACTTTACCATAAAAAAGGTAATGTTGAGTATTTGAAAGAATTTCCAAAGAATACCATTGTAACATGAAACTGAAGAACTTGGGAATCTAAATATTTGGGACAGTCAAATAAATGTACAATTTGAGTTGCAGCTTTTATTGCAGTGGAATGAATAAAATTAGAGGCAGCCTGCTGCAGTTAACTATAAACTTCTGAAGTGAATGCTTGTAAGGTGGGAGTATGTAGCCCAAGTACAGAGTCAAAGGGTGTAATTTTGCACCTGCAAAGATTTTCTTTTACAACCTTATAATCATTAGTTTTCCGGAGGTTCTTTTTTTTTTTTTTTTTTTTTGTCGGTATTGTTACCTGCAAAAATTAATCTGGGTTTTGCTGCCTTACTTTATATCTTGCCTGTATTATCATCTAATGTTCTTTCACCCTTTAATATTTTAATTTGGTATTCATCATTGAATCTCACATTCAAATGTTTTTAATATTTGAGCTGCGAATTATACCAGTACAGAATATGCAGGTTATCTTGTTACTCTGTTGTTTATGAAGGAACATTTCTCATTTGTCAGGAGGCTCTTGTTCCCCAGTTCCATGGAAATGGCATTTTTCAAAGATGAGAAAACAAAAATTAAATTGTATTTTCATTTTCATGAAGGCACAAACCTGTCACGCTTTGGTGTACAAAACGTGTTAGAAAATTTTTAATACAGTATCAAAGATGAGCTAATCAGGATAAAGCTTGAGTGTCCATCTAAATGTAAAAGAACAGTAAAAACCTGAAGCATCCGGTTATGTAACTGGAAGACAAACATACTGAAATAATTTTTCTACCACTTATTGATCGTAATGTTATGAAACCCACTTAAAGCATAAATTTTCCTCTAAGAAATTAAATTAACATTAGAAACTTCATTCAAATATATCTTAAATGAATACAGCTTCTTTTAAGAATACATTTTCTCTGTGCGGCCAGAATCCCTAGAGTAACAAATTGATCTCCTGGAACACTGTCACAGTGAAATCTTACACAGATGTCACTTCTAAGGATACAGCTCCCTTACTGTTGGTCTGAGCTGAACATGAAGTGCTGAAATGACTAGCAGTTGGTCCTCACTCCTGTCTGTCCCAGTGGTGTATCGCTGTTTTCTACTGTGTTTGAGTCATGTGACCACAGGGTGAGTTGGATCTGTTTGTGGATATTGAGCAAAATCAATTACATTTTTATTTTATCTTCATTTCCTGTGAGTTTGCTTGCAGATTTAATGGAGAACTGATAAAACACGCTCTGTGTGATCTTTAGGCTTGATGCAAATAACTGTGTCAGAACTCAGCTGAGATGGCGAGTCAGCTGCAGTTTCTCTTTCATTTGGATTAAGCATCATATGAAATCCAAAATCTTGGTTGTTTTGAAGGGAGCTGTTTCACTTTGTATATCTGATTGATAAGATATATAGCTCCAAAATGGAATGCGTACTTACTGTTACCTGCATAAGTCAAACCTGCACAAGACAAATTGCCTGTGTTAGAACACACTTCTTTTTCTGGTTTGTGTTGTGTCCAAGTTTGTACTTCATGACTATTGCTACAAAGAAACGTGTAGTACGTTTCTTACTGGATCCTAACGTTTATGAGTTCACACCTTTAAATAACAGAAAATAACTACTGAAGTTGAAACAAGTTTATTTAAATTACATAAATGTTTTTCACAGGTAGGCTTCAAGTTAGGAGTTCGTTCTAAATTTTGTCGACAAAATATTTGGGCATAACAAGTTTCCTAAGGGTTGGTTCATGTATACGTTTTCATTTGGAAAGGCCTTTGTGTAAAAAGCAGAAATAGCTTGTTTTGTAGATTATTCCTCATCCTTAGCCATTGTCTAGTCATTATATTGTTATTTCTTCTAGAGAGATGGCTTTCATTTACGGTTGAACTGATCAGTTCTTGAGTGCAGTAATCACTGTAATAGTATTTGCAGTTCTTGCAGTTTCACCCCAACATACATAGCTGCAGATTTCATTTACAGGAAATGTTTATTTTGGAGAGATTGTTCTTGGTTAATAGTTGCTTTTAGGAAAAATAGTGGTAAGATCAGTGAGTAGATGAAACTTCAGACTCTTACATAGTTGATTTTAAATATAATCTGTTTTGAAATACGCAGTTTGATTAAACACTGGCCTCAGCCCTTAGCTGTCAATTGAAATTCAGTCTATTACGGTCTTGGGAAGATGCTGTAAAATATGCCAATTTGCACCCTTAATGCATGCACACTGTTGTTTACTGAGCTCACGCATGGCTGTTCCTCTTCGGTGCTCTAAGTATCTTTGAAAGCAGAACAGAGTAAGTTTCACAAAGGTATTTTTCATACTGCAGAGGTATCAGCAGCTAGTCCTATTGGAACTGTAGTAGGGGACAGAAATGTGCGAAGAGTAGGAGACAGTTTGCAGTTACTGTCTTGTGGCAGAAGTGAGCCCTGCCAGTGAACCTAAAAGCTGAGAGGTGGAATGCAGCACATATCCTTACCAACCCTTGTCTCCACCCATTTGAAACAAAAGATGAAGTTGCAAATCTGATCTCTGGTGTTATGGCTAGCCTTCAAAGCAAAGACTGTTTGTTACTGTATGTTGTTTATAACTTGTGTATCATGATGTGGATTTAAATTTTATCTTTGTTCAAAGATGACTTTTCTAAAAAAACAAACTAATCAAGTATTTAATCCTATTTTTGTTTGTTTTCTTCCAAAGTGACTGTGAACCACACAGAGCAAAATCTGACAGTGTCCCAGATTCCTTATCCGGAAACATGGTATGTGTTTTATGTAGACAAGTTTACCTGCGAGGAGAATTATTCTGAATCCGAGGATATTCAGTTTGAAATGGTCTTACTAAACCCAGATGCAGAAGGCAATCCATTAGATCACTTTAGCGCAGGGGAATCTGGTAAGATTTTTTTTCTTAAAATTAGATTTGTAAGTTAAGGGTTTGATCACCCAAACAAATGAGTACTTACTGTGCTTGCAGAAATGTGGGGAATGGATAGTAGTAATTTCATACTCTGCTTTCTCATGGAGAGTAAACTTTGTTTTCTGGCATTCCAGAAAACTCTCTAGACTGACTTTCCAAAACTTGCCTAACTGGAACTACAGATGCACAAGGAAAGTTAGTGTTAGCTATCATTGCTCATAGGTATTTTTCCTGTGTTGGAGTTATAAGTTTCCACTTGAATGTGAATTTAATCCTTGGTTTTATTGAGCTCATTAAATGCCTCAGCTGTCTAAAGTTTTATTCTGTGCAACATGAATACATGCACAATGAAACATTTTGCCAGTACAATTTCAGTTCAGTGTTTAGGTCTTTAAGTATCTTTGTCACAGTCTGCAGATTAAGTATTTGTCAGTCTTGATTTTATTTTATTTAAGAAATGCAATTTTAAATCTTTATGCATGCAAGGAAAAAATTCTTAGAAGTGGCTCAAGACAGCAGTGAGAGAAAAGCATATAAAATTGTATGGTTTGGGCAGTCTGAAGCAACCTGATGTCTGCTTCATTACAGTGCTTAGTTGCACTGCTCTGGGAGGCCTCATCAACCTGTCACTAACCTAGGTCTCTTGTAAGGGAAGACTCCCAGAGGTTTAGTCTGCCTTCATATGCAAATTTAACCTACATACCCAGAATGAGCATAATTGCTATACTCAAAATCATATGCCCTGCTCTTATTCTTGGTCAAAGGCAGCTCCCTTTCAGGAGGGAAGAATATATTCCCTGAAACATTTAGCAGAATCTGTAAGAAATTAGCACGGTTAATCGTTCATTTTTCAAGGCTTATAAATTGACTTACCTGTCTCTTTAACTTCTTAACTGTGCTTCTTAATCTACGAACTTAATTGGCAGGTTTTATTTAGTGAATTTGTATCCAGAACTGGTAAGGTTAATTTACTGTTTCTCAAAAAACAGTAGTAGCATTCGTTTGCTAAATCAAGAGGCAAAGCAGCTATAAGACATTGTGTGGCTCCTAAAAGTGGTGTACAGACCTCCTAGAGAGGTATCTCAGCTCTATATCAATTTTGTAGGCAGATTTTGAGCACTTCGAAGCAGAACTTAACAGCTTGCATGCTGAGTAAATGCATTAGATGCACGTATTTAGATATAACAAGTAGGAAATGGAGTGAGCTGTACATAACATCTCTTCCACAGTTGCAGAGGAATACCTCTGTTTATTCAGAATTAAAACTTGCATCGCTGCCATAAATCCTGAGGTTATGTGCTCATGTCTACTTACAAAGAACTGAGGAGAATTTTGTGTCTCTTTCTCTCTTTTCCTGTTTGGTTTGGTTTGTTGTTTTGCTGGGTTTTTTGGTGGTTTTTTTTGTTTGTTTGTTTTGGTTTTGTTGTTGGTTTTGGGGTATTTTTTTGTTTTGGTTTTGGTTTTTTTAATGCATTTCTAGGGAATAATATTTGTCATTTTTCCAGAGAGGTGTGCAGCTTAGAACATTAGGGTATCAGAAGATCCAGCTTAATTTCTTTGTTCTTTCATTCGGGCAACTAAGAACTGCGTAGTTACAGATGGTTCTAGTTAGTTCATCTTCCACTGAAGATGTGTGGCCTGACACAGGAGATCTCAAATGGACTTTAAGGAAAGTATAGGAAAGAAGTTGAGACTGTAACCTACTGAGATGTTTGCTTTGAGAGAGAAGAGGCCTGGGTTCTGATCTCTGGCAAGTAATCTTTTATCATTTTACATGGTAGTGGGTTTTTTACATAAGACATGCTACCACTGGAAGCTAGTATTTCTAAGGGAAGTTGACAAGGTAGACAGCATTTTGAAGATGAAGCTAGGTATTTCAAATTAAGGTACATATGTTTTATTTTCTCTGTCAACTCTAGGTTACTTGAAAGTCAGGAAACTTAAAAAAGACAGGTTGAAAATTACCCTTCTATGCTTTTTATGGTTGTATTTCAGTGCAACTTTCTCTTAAATCCTTTTGGTCTCAAGCAAATCATCCACAATCTGTCTTTGGTTGGAAGGAGCTTTCTATCCTAAATGTTTATTAAAAGCTAGTTCATTTTCTTAGAGTTTTCCATGTGTACCCATTCATCATAGTGACAAATAGCTTATCTACAGAATCCTTGCCAACTTCAGTGGGTGTCTTTTGAAGGAGAAAGATAAAAAGTGAAAGAAAGAATAACAGATTTGATCTATAATGCATTTTTTTGTCATCCATAAATCATGCTTTTGGGTAGGTATACAAGAGAAACAGAGTGGCCCTTTTGTTTGCTTTTGGTTTTTTTTTTTTTAGGAGTCTATATTACCCTATGCTCTTTTTCTCTCATTTCACTATAAGTATGTCCAAAATAATTCGTTTTAGCCATAGAAGTTATAGTACTAGCAACTATTCAGAACTTACCCAGTTCTAATGTTTTTCAACTTAGATATTGACATTTGTGTAATTGTTCTGTTTCCAAACTGTGTGGAGCTGGTTGGAAGTTACTAACAGTTATTTTGTTGCTGGAGGAAAAACATTGTTCAGAATCTGAGTTTGTGGGCACCACTTGATTTCAAGGAAGGCTGGGGAAGGAAAACGTAAATTTTCTGTGTGAAACATCTGTTTACCTGGTTTTGCTTGTAGCTCACTTGCTTTGACCCTTTGGGAGCTCATATGATGGATTCCAAAGCTTCCAGACAATAAAAAAGATTGCCAGGATACAGGTCTTCAGGGAAGCATTTTAGCAGACTACTTCTAGACTAAAAGTTAGAGGACTTCTGATTTATAAATAGTATCAAAAACTTGAGGCATTTTTTCAAATTGGAAAAAAAAGAAAAAAAAAGTCCATTCTATTAACTTACTCTGTGTGCTATTTTTCTTCCCATTTTTCTTTATCTGAAAGTTTTTTGTCTTGGTCCACAGTGCTACTTGGACTTACTATTTTATGTGGAGGAAGAGTGACACCCAGTGGTTAAATAGATTCAACAGAAGTCTTTTCTGGGTTTCTCTCCTCAGATTATGCCTTTAAAAATTGAAGGGGGGCAGGGGAAAGAGCTAAAAGTGAGTCCTTTAATAAATATGTTTCTGACTGATCAAATGAGCTACAATAATTTTCTGTTTATCAAGAAGCTGTGTGCCACTTCATACAACATATTTTTAGTTATTTACTGCTAGCAGCAACATTTCTTTACAAAAACTAACCTATATTTCTTTCTTTTTTTTTTTCCCCCTCACAGGTTTACATGAATTCTTTTTCCTGCTTGTCCTAGCATACTTCATAACTGCTTGCATATATGCGCAGTCCCTATGGCAAACACTTAAGAAGCGTGGACCTATGCATACTGTATTAAAGGTGTTGACAGTTGCATTACTGTTGCAGGCTGGTTCAGCTTTTGCCAACTACCTGCATTTCTCAAGGTATCTTTGTTTATTTTTGCTTTCAAGTCTTAAGACTTGAAGAACATTGTGTTGTAAAGATCAGTACATGATCTCTTCTGTGTCAATTGTGGCAAAACATAGGACTGACATTTTAGAACTACATCATTGCCTAAATGTAGTTTTAAGAGAGAACATGCGTGTAAGACTCACCTAAAAATGTAATCTTTTTATTCTTTTATCAGCTATTCCAAAGATGGAATAGGAGTACCTTTTATGGGAAGTCTGTCAGAATGTGAGTATGCCTGTCTACTATTTTTTTACACACTCCTACACATTAATCTGTATAATGCATTAGGAAATGCCAGTATTGGACTGTACAGTAGCACCAGATTTTTTAATTAAATTTTTAAATTTAATTTAATTTTAGTTTTAAGTACTAGAAGTTGCTCTTCTGAAAAACAGGTTTTGTTCTGTTTATGGTAACTGTATTTAAAGTTATACAATTCTGATACTGTTTAGGATTTTTTTAAGTATTTTCTTGTCTGAAGATTCCTTCCTACAGACACTGAAATAAGTGCCTATCACATGAGTAAATGTTTTGGTACCTTGAAGGGTTTTGTGAAATTTGCATGTCATTTCATTAGCAAATTTAACATTGATTATAACAAAAAACATCAGCCTTTTGCAACACAAGTGATATGACTACTGTGATGCAAAAAATGCTTATATAAAGAATTGACATTAACAAAATATTTTTCTCTGCTCTGTATAAATATTCTGAGTTCTTATTGGAACTTAATTCCTGTAACATCCCTTCCCGAAATGCACTAATTTACACCTGCTGTGTTCTTCAGGGTTAAACACTGTTGGAGGGGGTTTTGTTGGGTTGGTTTTTTTTCTGTAGTTCACCTTCGAAGCACTGGGGGGGTCTTTCTAAGCCTTTTGATTGGCTTGAAGAACCTCAAGAAAGTAGTACTGTGGTAATGAGATAGCATTGGAGCGTAACAGCCTATATAGGAAAGTATTTCCCTTAGAGTTCATTTAGAAGCTTGCAGTTGGAATTAACAGCCTCTTGATGGCACTTGGCACCACAGTAATTGCCTCTTTCTTGTTTTAACGATTTGAGTTAGCAGCTCCTTGAAGGCTGTCCAGCAACTGTATTATTAAACTTTCCTTCTTGTCTTCTGAAATGAAATTAAATAGAGAATACGGAGGTAGGCATAACTCCTCCACAGTGAGAAAACCAATGTTAACTACCCAGCCAGAACTTCAGAAAGGGTAGCTGTCCATTAGATTTTCTCTGTGTGTGTTGTAGTGAAGAGCCCACTCTTATTTGCTTGAAGCAAAGTTTATTGAGAATAAAATAATATATTTTTTTAATCAATAGCTGAAATTTAGATATTCTTACTGTTTTTAAGGTTTGTGGTTCCCTAACCAGTAGAAGAGGTGAGGTAATAGAAATGTGGAAAGCTTCAGTGTCAATTACAATTCTAAGTATAGCTGGTAGGAAGAAGTGTAGTTTGAAGGTGGAAGGTGCTAGCATTTTTCCTATATTAGAACAGAAATCCAAGTTAGAAATAAATGGTAGAATTTCTGTTGATTGCAGTGGTGCCAGAATTGCTTTCTAGAAACCTGTTCAGATACTGTCCTAAGCAATTACACACAAGTAAAGCTGGTACTCAAAAGCATCACAAATAATGCTCTTTCAATTTTTTGTAAGATTGGAATGTGAAAGTCAATGTCTGTTGAATAGTCAAAAAAGATGAATTGTGATGAAATTGGACAACTATGGTGTCAGCTCAGTAGCATGTGACTTTACATTGACCCTGGATATCATAGGATTATTGTAACTTTAGATATTTCTTTCAACCTTCTTACTTTCTGGCAAGGTGTATGGGATGTCGAAGATTGAAGCTGGTGCTGAATTTTTGTCTTATACCATTTTGTCTAGGAATCCACTTGAATTGTTGCTACCCTGAAGCTGAGCAGTATCTATATCCAAGATATGATTAAGAGATAACGTCTGGCTGTATCTTGCAGAGCAAGTTATCTTAAGGAGTGACAGAAACAAAATGCTCTCTGAAACATCCAGATTTGCTCAGTCATTTCTCTAGCTTGGATTTGTGACACTTGTCTGGCATGCCTTGGGTTCATGTAACTAATTTTTTTAGTGAGTACTGTTTCCATAGCTAGCATTGTAAAATAATTTCAAGATCATTTTGTCCAAAATCAGTACCACTTCGTTTTATAAAGAATGAACAAGCTCATATTTACAAAAAGCTCTTGACATTGCTTAAACAGCAAAAGTGCTGTAATACATTAAGAAGCATTTAAGCATACAAACTGTGAGAATACCAAATACATCTCAGGAATAACATGTTGAATTCTGGTTTATATCTATATTTTGCTAGTGTTACTGTCAGGGAAATACTGTAGCTGATCTTCATTTGACATACTTCCCTTGTGTGCATATTAATCTCTGTACAGGGACATTTCTGTGCCAGTATTTTTAGTAAATGTGGAAGTACATTAATCTTTAATAATACAGTCCATCTTATCAGGTCTAAAGCTAACAACCACCCAGAAAGAATCTTCAGTTCTTTCTACCATCAGTAGTACTTCAGGGAGGCTAACAAGTAAAGGCTTTTAATATATTCTAGCTTGAAGTTTTCTGTATTCAGATACAGCTTCAAACGCAGGTTTGAGACGCTGATTAAGAATGCAACTTTATGGTGTATGTGTTAATTGTTCCCAAACAAAGGAAAAAAATGGACACAGCAAAATGAGGTAAAGGTCATTTGCATTTAATAAAATGAAATACAGGCAAGATTTTGCTCCAAATGAAGTTTGTGTTAGGGCTATTCATTATATTTTCCCCTTTAAATATCTCAGAGTGGAATTTGTCCTGCATATTTGTGCTTTCTATTGCAAGCTACTGCATCCTTAAGATACGGTGCCATTAATTTAAAGTACAGTGCAACTATCTGACTTTCGAACAAAAGGTTTTCAGAGAAAAAAAAGGAGTTCATTTCATCATGTTTTATATTTGCAAGTGTGATTAACATACATATGATTTTAGTTCTTTAGCATTTATAAGTATATTTATGCAGATGGACTCCTGAGCCAAGACATCTTTGACCAAAGAGTGGGACTTGGAAGGATGTTGACACTGTGTCTGTGTTGTTGCAGAACAGCATCATAACTAGGGGAAAGCTGATAGTGATCCGTTTCATCACTGGAAACTACTCAAAATATCCACATTTTATTGCAAAACAATTTCATCTAGTCAAACTACCATTAAAATTATGACTAAAGGTGATAGAGAGGCATAAATGTCTATCCTTCATTTGTGAGTATATAGAACATTCTTTTTGCTTTGCAAAAAAACTTTATTTTTGTTGTGACTCTCTATTTTTCTTTTGTTTTCAATAGTGTGTGACATAGTCTCACAGATACAAATGCTATATTTATTGTTGAGTCTGTGTATGGGTTGGACAATAGGCAGAATGAAGAAATCTCATGGCAGACCTCTTCAGTGGGATTCCACTCCAGCATCTACTGGCATTGCTGTAGTAGTTGTCATTACACAGGTTTGTGTTTTATATTTGTTCTTAGACTGAAAAATACAGCTGCTATTAAGTATGACAGAACCATGAACGAACTAATTTCAATATTTATGAGGGAGGGAGTATCAAGACTGGAAAAAAACCCACAGCATAATGTGCACCCAGTATGTCTAATAAGTAACAACACCTTCTCTTTACTTGAACGATTTAAGGTGTAGCTCCACAGTATGTTTTTGTTCAGTAGTAAAACCACTTAAGAAGTTCCCACAGTTTTTCAAACTCCTGGTTGTGCCAATTGTTTGTAGCATTATGCTGTAAACCAGATCAGTGAATGATCTAGATTTGCACACACACACACACAAAAAGAGAGCGAGATTTCAGCACAGTCATTTTGCTGATCTGATTTACAATGTGGTCCTATAAATAGTTGTAATCAATACAACTGAGGGGTTGTGAACTACATTGTGGGGGATAACAACAAGCAGCATGAGAGGAAAGATGAAAAAAGCTGCTGTCAGAAATTTCTTCTGTCACAACACAATTTGAAATCCTCAGCGGCCTCATCTTAGAACCACTCAAATAGGATGTCTAATGGTCTTTGCAATCAATATAAGGGAATTCTTGAAAGGTTCATGTGCATGATTGGTCTTGCAAATATACAAATTGTCTGACACATAATTTCATTCAAGTATTTTCCATTAGTATGAATTAGAAAGTCAAGTAAACCAGTAACTTAAAAGTAAATTGTAATGGAAATCATGCAACCCTGGTGGTGCCTTTTGTAAACAAATTTTTTTAAATCACAGCATAAAGGCAAGAGAATCTGAAAGCCATTGAGAAAGAGAAGAGCAGGGAGAAGCTGGAGACAGTAATGAGGAAGAGATTATATTGAAGATTTTGTGTCATTTGAGTAGTATCTGTAATTAGTGCTGCTTCCAAACTAAGTGGACTGCTAAAACATTAAAAGTAGCTGGGAGCTGATATTTCTTGCTAATTAAGAATATAAACCAAAGGCTATTAAGGTCAATGGGACTGTTGAATTTTAAAGGTGGGTTCATTCCACCTAACTTTGACACCCATCTAGCGCCAGAAATTTTACATGCTGATAGTAAAGAAGACTTCTGAAGTGTACAATTTTATTCATGCCTCTTCACTTGTACATATATGGGTGTGTTAGTAGTTTGTCACTTGAGACTGAAAAGGGGTTTTTGTTGTTGTTGTTTTCTTTTTACTACATGCAGAAAGGACACAGTATCATCAGCTTGATCTTTTTTTGGTTGTTACTTGTGGTAAAAATTGGGGAAGGTATCATATGTCTATGCTGCTTCCCCCAGTGCTGACTCATTACACATTTGTGTTGGCTTTTTGAGCACTGCTGGAGCATTGGCTATTTTGCTTTTCTCCACAAAGGCACAGTTCTACCACATCTCCTGGTACTGTTGGGAATGTCAGGTTTGGAAGGAGTCTTGTAGGAACAGAAAATGGATTTTGGAGTATGTCATTATCTGTGTGGTTTTGCACACCCATCTCAGCGTCTACTGTCTGCAGCAAAAGTTCCCTGACACCAAGACTATCCCTGCTCCTTCTGGAGAAGATACTCTCCATCTTCAGTTCAGTACATATAAAATACACCTTCCGCTGGATTTCTTCTCCTTAGTACAGAATGCAGCTGTTGAGCTGAGGGGAGCAGGTTCCAGACCACACTGCCTCTATCAAAGTTGGTGAGCTCAAGCCTTTGTTCTCTGGATTATCTTGTTGTTCACTGGTCTCTCTAGGTTGATGTGGGTGTTGGACCTGCTATAGCACTTCTAATGACTAAAACCTAGAACGGTCTCCTTTCTATCCTCCTCTTTCCCAGAAATTTTCATGGGAGAGCCAGTTTGCTCCCATGCCAGAGGTTGGGCGGACTTACGTGGATGGTCAGAGATGTTCTGAGGACTTGCAGTGGAGGGTACTGGAAGCCACATGTATTACCCTAATGCAGCAGAGGAAGACTGAACCATGTTAGTTTTATTGTCGTTCACTACATGTCCTCATCTCAAGCAAGTGGACAGCCTGGGAAAATACGTTATTCTTCAACTTAAACTGCATTTTGACTGGCAAACTGTCTGACCCTGTTTGCTTGCTACTAGTTGCAATTACTCAGCAAATTTTCAAGGTTTATTCCTCCTCTTTGTTCCAATGCTGTGAATTCTTTCTTTTTGTTCTTTCAGAAACAACAGCAATTTCCCAGGCTGTGTTTACAGGTTACCATCAGAGTAGGGTGGACACAGCCTACACTGTAGAGGTGTGGAGGACTCCACTTCAACAGGTGGAGTCAGCAAATCTCTTGTGGTCTTTGCAGCTGCAAAGGAGGACACGTCTCCCATTCAGCATATCCCTTTGCCTTAACTTGTTCTTTATTTCAGCTTCGGAACAAAAGCTTCCCAGGCCTCTCTGAATTCATTAGAGATTCCACACTGCCACTGAGATACAAACCTTGTTCAAAACTTTCTTGATGGCAGTCCTTTCCCATCACATAGACCTGAACCGTTTCAGCATTCAGGGCTGATCATAGTAGAGGCAATGATTCTGGAAAGATAGCTGATCACTTCGAACCCGACCAAAATGACATAGAATCTTGCCGCATTAGACATCACACTTCACAGGGGTTCTTAGGTACACCCCAGAAGTGTGTTCAGAAAGAGCTCTACCTCTGACTTTACATCTCAGCCAATTTACTACACTGGTATTGCATGACATCAGATACCCAAGGACTAGGTACAGTTAGAAGCAGCTAGTTAATCCACTATGCCTAGCTGCTACTTTTGATTTCCCTTTTGCTTACCACTTCTCCTCATGTCTCAGAGCTGATCTGTCCCATGAGAACCTGCCTTTACTGGAGATTGGTATGTTATCTTGGCTTGCCATAAAGTCAGTGTTGGCATAGCAAAGGCAAGGAGGAGTTCTACTGTAATTGTTTACTCATGACAAAAAGGAAGTGTCTGGTTCTTCATTGTATGAATGTGGAGGTTCAACTTGTATATCTGGAACATCATGATGATGTCCGTGGCAAACATTCTTCTAGCATTTGAAGAGGAAGACCAATGCTGGCCAGTGGTTGGTGTCCACTGTGAACCGACATAGGTCAGAAGTATGTGCAGGTACAGTCAGGCATTTTGAACAGTGTTATATAAACAAGGAGATGATCATTCTCCTTTACGAAGAAGTAGTGACTTTAATGTTGGACATAGCTAGTGTGAATTAGCTCTTCAGCTACCTAGCACATCCAGCCCAAGCAGAGTTGTTCTTCAGGATAACAATTAGAATTCCCCCCTTCATTTCTTCTCAGAGCTCAGATGTAGTTCTGCTCAGTGCCAGCAAAAAAATGTCCCTGATATCCACTTCAGCAGGTTGCTGTGTGGGTGTTTTTTCAGCATGTTCCTGATATTGCAGCTAAGTGAAGTGATACATGCCTTTACGTGTTCAAGATAAGGGACTTCAATACTTACTGACCTTAGTTTCTCAGGCATAGCAAATTAAAGAGATTTGGACTTTGAGATCATGCTTGGCTATGAAAGTTCTTCCTTCATTGAGAACAAATTGCTCAATCCATTGTAACTTACAAGCACTTCACAGCAGAGAATTCTTTTTTATAGGATCCCCCTTTTCTCAGGGGAGCACCGTTCCAGCTCATAATAAGAGCAGTGACACATGTTCACCTTGTCTGAGTTTCTGGTGTCTTGCATGGATGGTTCTGTCTCTGCCTCTAATGTCTCTGCCTTCTGCTTATTTTGAAATAGTCTAATGAAACTGAAGGAAGCTGGACTTCTGTGATCTTACATTGCTGTTACTATACACAGTCTTTGATCAACTGATTCCTATGTTGTTTACACAGCTTACACTGTGTAAGCGGCTAGTCCAGAGCATACCCTGCCATCAGACACTATTTTCCCATGAGGATTTGGACTTTGTTCTCATGATTCCTTTACTCCAGCTCTTTGTCATCTTCTCATGAAAGTGGCTTCCTTCATTGTTGTTACTATTGGTGCAGGTTAAGGAAAATTCAAGCCCTCATGAGCTCTGTTCTTTATTGTCTCAGACAGTGTGTGTCCAGTCCAGGGAAGTGTAAACATCAAAACGGAAAATGCTCTGTACAAGACTGAAGTGTAACACAGCTTACAAAGTTCTTTTGTGTAACTGGTAGAACCCTTGTTTGTTGCCTGAGCATGTTCTACCTATACTGAAATAACTTCTGTGATAGGAATTCATCAATTTCATGCCAAAACTAGTGCTGTAGACACAATTTTACTAAATACTGCACTGTATTTCAGGGTTTCAGGAGCCATTTAATCTTACTGCAGTTTTATTCCTTGACAGATTTCTCAGTCAAGTAATGTGATCATTTGAAGATGTTTGCTTAGAGTTAGTCAGAAATAGAGAGTTATGGTGGGAACATTTGAAGCCTGTTGGTCAGATTGTTTACTAGTGATCAGGTCTGTCCCTCTCCCATCCTTTTATTCTCTATCCAGGTGGTTGAGGAGTGACTGAAATGACAGCAGTCATGCTTGCCCATATCATGGCCTAGGTAAGGGAAGGGAAAAGTGGGAGTACTCTTGAGGATATTCTAAGCAAAAATGATCCTGTTTTGACTGATGAGAGTCAAGGCCACCCACCTTTGGAAGGCACAGGTGGACTACATTTTTTTTTTTTTTTTTAAGTTAATATCAGTAACCTTTTTGTCTTTATGTAGTTAATATAGTGAGAGCACCTTTGAATGTGTTCAGAAAGGAATTTGACTAATTTAGATTTCTAAATTGAGGCATACAGTGTCTGCTTCTGAAGGCCTTCAGAGCTACCTCACTCATAAATCAAATTTGCCTACCTTTCTTCAGAAAGTCTGCTTCATTAGGCACCTGTAACCTAAGTGCAGGTTAGATGTGTGTAGTAGGTAGACTGGATTCCAGTGTATATTCAAGTTGTAAAATGCCATTCAGTGCTACATGATGCTGGGAGAGTCTAAACTTTATGGGTATTCTAATTTATAACGTTAACATTCCCAAAGTCTTAAAAAGATACTCTTCGGCAAGACCCATTTTCTATGCAACAAGTACGCACCTGCCTCCTACTCAACTAAGATTCATAAGGTTAGGCACTTCTTAGTCTGGTTTTCATTAGAGAATCTATCAATACTCTTTCTCTCAGTGCTCCTACAAAATTGGGTTCTGCAGCAGATGGGTACAGTGCTGAAAGTTAAGTAGGATTACTTTCTTTTCTGTAGTTATCTGTTGGCTAGAGCATTTGTCCAGATTTGGACAGTATTTGGAACCTGTGCTGCTCCCTATCCTGGACCCTCAGAGGTTTCTGAGCTGCTGGCTTGCAGAGTCAGGCTCACTCACCTTTTTGACCTAGCTAGTGTTGAATTCTTTTCTCCACAATGGCACAGCTTCAATAGAAGGGGTGGAGAGTGGCCCACCCAAGAACAGCCTATAGCCTGGCAGTTGCGGCACTCTCCAAGGAGGTGGGAGATGTGAGCTGGATATCCTTTAGGCAAAGAAGGGAATTGTGGGAGATCCAAGTTCAACCTGGGTGAATGCTTGAGCCTTTAGGCTATTGTATAAAAGGGGCAGCAGCACCACCCTCTTACTTCCCCATCTTTGAAAAGAAAAGTGAATCCTGTTAGGATTTTGAAAGAAAAGGCGTAGTCGCCTGCCTTTGAAACAAGCTTTACAGGTTGTGGATCCCAAGTGGAAGGAGACACCTCCCTGTAGCTCTGTGGAATCATTTCAGTGGGCTTCCTGC